TCCTCTTTGATATTGACTGTAATAATGTAACTGGCCTTGTGTGTATTGATTATAGTAAAGCTTTTGACCTGATAAATCATGATATTCTCCTTGCTAAACTGAAGATCTATGGTGTCGATGATGGAAATCTACAATTGTTTCGGAGCTACTTGGCTGACCGTCAACAATATGTTAATATAAATGGGTGCACTTCATCCCCACTAGGTATCACCCATGGTGTTCCACAAGGAAGTATTTTGGGCCCCTTGCTGTTCCTGACTTTCATCAATGACCTCCCACAAGTGATCTCAAACTCTACTGTGGATGTTTATGCCGATGATACTACCTTTTCCTCTAGTGCTCATTGTACTCTGGGGACAACGGCAGTTGAAGCAAAACTTCAGGAGGACATTGACAGTCTTTGCGCATGGTCTACTCAAAATCGCATGGTCTTAAATGCCGGGAAAACCAAATCTATTCTGGTAACTGGCAAGCGTCTCAAGTCACGTGTAGCTGACCCTAGTTTGAAGTTGCAAGCAAATGGAACAGCTATCGAGCAAGTTATACATCAGAAACTGCTTGGGGTTACAATTGATCAAGAACTAACTTTTAAGGAACATGTAGATAAACTTTGTAAGAAGCTTAGCAAAAAAATTGGCCTACTGAAAAAGTTGTGTACTTATTTACCCATTGAGGAAAGATTACTCTTCTATAATGCCCTTATTAAGCCGGTCATGATGTATGGTAGTATAGTTTGGACCTATTGTTCTAAGGAAGATCTCATGAGAGTGTTTCGGTTGCAGAAACGTGCAGCGCGTGTAATATTAGGTACAGGTATCAGATCAAGAACTGTGGAAAATTTTAAGAAACTAAATTGGATCCCATTCTATGATGAAGTCAAGATAAGAAAGTGCGTGTTAATCTATAAGGCACTGCATGGGGAATCCCCTACGTATATTGAAAGTACTTTAACTACAAATCACTCCCTGCATGGTAGAGAGACCAGGCATGGCCAGTATAACCTAATCTGTCCCAAGTATCGAAATACTACTGAGGCAGGAAGGTCTTTCCAAGTTAGTAGTATTAAGTTATGGAATAGTCTTCCAAATGAGCTTAGGAAACAACGTAGCATCTCTTCTCTTAGGAATGATTTGATGAATTATTTTATAAATTCTTATAGAGACATTGATTCTTTTGAAGCTGTATTATAATCTAGTTTTGTTGTATTTATAATCTTTGAATAGTTACATTGTTCGACTAGTTAGTTCTATTTTTAATCTCAATGGCTTTGAATGTATTACTTACCAACTTTAGTTTTGAGGGCCACTGGTTTATCAGCGCAAGCTGTTATGTGTATACCCTCTTTAAATAAAGTCGATTATTATTATTATTATTATTATTATTATTATTATTATCATATATTTTTATTACTACCGGAAAAAGTGTATTTGCTTTCTCATGTTTTGTTGTGAGTGTTGGTTTTGTGGTGTATCAGAACTCATTTCTGCTTGGCAGGAAAATCACATAATACCGTTAAATTTCATTATAAAATCCAGCGAAGTGCCTGAGTTTGATTTTGCAGCTTATAAGTCTTCGATGATCACTTTTTATGGCTACATTTATTTAAGAGAAATTTCCGGTTTGTTGCCTTGACAGGGTCTTGACAGTATTATAATGTACTCTATTTCTATTTTTCTCCGGTAAAAGATATAAATCGCCAGAGGGATGCCATTGAGAATTTAATGGCAGTGTTAAAAAATATCTGGGAAAATAGTGTTCAATTGAAAGTCTACCACTTGAGATCTATGGTGTGGTTATTTAAACTTCAACTTGATATTGTCTTCTTGTCTTTTTTCATGACAGTTACTCTTGATTACAAAGCGCTGATAATGCTACTCAAGCAAAAAGGGGGTGATGCCGACAAATATAGCAATGAACTTTGCAAGGGAGGATTGGACACATGCAGAGTGCTGTGTATTCTGCAAAGTTATGAAGGTAAGTTATACCTGCAATTGCTAAATGACATACATCATAGCAGAATTCTACAATAACACAAAACATATTCAGGTTACCGGTATTTGTGATGCAATTTATTTGTAATCAATTAGTGAGAGCTCTCTTGGCTTTCTTGACTTTATGGAAAGGCAGAAATCTGTCCACAAACATGAACGTATTTTATCTGTGGTGAACACTGATTATCTACAAATAGTAGTGAACATTATGTGACTTTAGCCCAGTTAATTCATTATTAAGTTATACATGCATTTTATTCATAGGAATGTGCCTGTCCTGATGTTCGTCGTGGGGAAGCCTGTGCTGAGTGTTTCCCANAAGTGAACATATTTTATCTGTGGTGAACAGTGATTATATATCTACCATTAGTAGTGAACATTATATGACTTTAGCTCAGTTAATTCATTATTGAGTGATACATGCAATTTATTTGTAGGAATGTGCCTCTCCTGATGTTCCTTTTGGGGAAGCCTTTGCTGAGTGTTTCCTAAAGAGCAAAGCAAATATTGGGGGGTAGGTACAACTCTGCATTTCTGCATTGACATGCATAAAAAGTTCCAGCTTGCAGTATGGTATTTCACTTTCTATTGGAATACATGTCTTTAAATCTCACTTGGGATACTTAGTTTGATGGACAGTTGGTATACTGCCGGCCGACAGTTGGCCGACAGTTGGCCGACAGACTTTTAGGGGAGCTGTTCTTCACTTTTACCCAGTTACCAGCAAAAATATGGTAAGCTTGGATTATAAAGGTGGAAACTAAATTCACTGTTTTTTTTTCTGTCTGTTTCAGATGGAAGGGGTTAAGAGATGACTTGCTCTTTTTTTTTTAAGAGGAACCATGTGACGTCAATCTATGTGCTCTGCGTGCAATTTTTTTTTTTTGAATTTTTAAATTGTGTATGGCATTGTAATTTAAATTGTTTTTTTTTTTGTAGTATGGCACAATCAAGTTTTATTTTAAAGAAATCTGTTTTTTTTTTTTTTAATCCTGTAATAATAATCTTTTGTTTAGTGTTGCCTGATTTTTTTTTTGATATGTATTAATTTGTCACATTTCTTAGATTAATATAGCATTTTTTTTTTTGCCTGAGGGCTTTTGGGATATATAGAAAACTTAGTTTTTCATTTTTTTTTAATATAGGGAAGTGTTGTCTATCCTTTCTGGTGCACCCAGGCTTTTTTTTTGGCATTCAGTGTAATGCCTGAGCGCTTCTGGGAGATATAATATTTTTTTTTTTTCATTCATGGTTAATATAGGGAAGTGTTGTCTATCCTTTCTTTTTTTTTTAGGCTGAAGTCCTGGCATTCATTGTAATGCCTTAGGGCTTCTTTTTTTTTTAACATACTTAGTTTTTCATTCATGGTTAATACAGGGAACTGTTTTTTTTTCTTTCTGGTTCACACAGACTGAAATCCTGGCAATCAGAGTAATTTTTTTTTGCTTCTGGGATATGTAACGTGAAGATATTCTTGTGAGTCAAATTTTTTTTTTCTTTCAGCTCTTCACCTATCTACAGCAGAGCGACAGGAATATTTTTTTTTTTGAGACAAAAAATTTGAAAAACAGCTTTATTTACTGCTAGATTTTTTTTTGCAAACCGCGACGGGAAGAGAACGTCAAAAAACAAAATGCTGTTTTTTTTTAAAAATCAATAAAAAAACCAATGCAAAACAACAGCTGGTACATTTTTTTTTGAAGCTACATCGCGAAATTTCTGATGCGACGTTTTTGTACGATTTTTTTTTACGACGACGACTGATTTCCTGACAAACTGGGCAATATGAGATTTTTTTTTTTATGAAACAACACGAAGTAACGCGCACGGCCTCAAGTAATCGTTTTTTTTTATTTCCTTGAATAGGTGCCCACCCTCGACCATCCAAACTTGTTTTTTTTTTTAAGCACGACTCAGACACCCTTTCTTTTTCAGCTCACATAACTTTTTTTTTTTTGACTACCTTTGATAAATATGTTAGGAGAGATTCTTGCTTTTTTTTTTTTATTACGCCGGCGCATTACCTTTCCTATTTATATGGCAGGCTTTTTTTTTTATGCAAGCTGCTGCAAACTCTGCGAACTGATTGGTTGTTTGCTTTTTTTTTTTTTCGTTTTCGGCGGTGGCCAGCATCGCAGCCATTTTGTCCTTTTTTTTTCTGCAGGCAAGCTCTCTCTTGGTTCTCAACCCTTGGCTCAGGTTTTTTTTTTTATGCTTGTTCAATAAAACATTACTGGATCTACTACCGCGCTTTTTTTTTATTTCCAAAACAACCCTGGCGCACGACGCTTGACTTATTTACTTTTTTTTTTTGGAAAAAGTTAATGTCCCACCCCTCTCAAGGAAGCTTTAATTTTTTTTTAATTCAAGGAATTTCGAAGGATTTATTGAATTCATTGGCGGATTTTTTTTTAAATGCACGGACTTGCAAGACAGTACGAACCCTGTTAAAGTTTTTTTTTTTTCAAACTTGTTCGTGCCGTGTCATTAAACGAAAGTTGGTCTTTTTTTTTTTCTAATTTCTCCTTCCTCCTCTTTCGCATTTTTTCAGGCACATTTTTTTTTTCTAATAATTTTTCACTTCGTGAGCTTTGTCACCTTGTTCAACTTTTTTTTTCTTGATTTGAAAACAATGATTACTACCCCCGGTCTCTGTTTATTCACGATTTTAATCATCGTTGCCGAGGAGGTAGCGCAAAAACGATTTTCAACACCAGTGCCTTAAAGCGCCACTACGACGAAAATTGTTGTCTCTAGTTTTGACATTTTTTAGCGTCAATCAAGTTACTATGGCTAGAATTGTACTATGCGATGGTTTTTAGGTCAATGGAAGCGAAATACGCCTTGATATAGCTGGCTGAAATTCACGAAAAAACCGTCCGCCATTACTCAGCTCGAAACCGAGCGGTTTTACGCATGAGTTGGCCTGTGACGTCATATGCGCACTATCGCATCGTGCTTTGTGTTTTTTTTTAGATTCCTCAGTGGATATTCTAGGCGTTTCATAAGATGTATTTTTTTTTTTGTTCTTCTTCCAGTTCATCTGAAAGTGAAGGCGAAGAATATTTTTTTTTTTTATCTTTCGAATGTGGCAGTGTTGTTCCGTGTGACGAGGATCTTTTTTTTTTAGCCACCGAAGAAGAGGCTGCAGAACAAGAAGCAAGAATGGTTTTTTTTTCCGAAGCAGAGCGCGAATACCGAGCGAGATTAACTCGTCAAGTTTTTTTTTCTGTATGGTGCGATAAGAGATTTTCTTATGACAACGTTTATTTTTTTTTTTTGCCGTAAGCCTTAACAAAAACTGCCTTTATTTTTTGTATACTTTTTTTTTTAGTTCGATCATGTCTTTTGTTTACAATTGCGGCCATGTAGCTTTTTTTTTGCTACGGAAAGTTATTGTTCGTTCGAATTGTTTTATTTGTCTTTTTTTTTTTTTACTAACACTCTTCTTAACTCGTACGTTTCTTATTTAAAGTTTTTTTTTTTCTAACTGTTCTCCCGAGTTCGCAAGGAAAGCAGAAGAATGTTTTTTTTTTCAGGAAATCGATCGTTGTGGGGAGGTTATGGAAGAGTTTGGTTTTTTTTTGAAGTGCATCACACTTCATCCAGGGTTTCAAGATGTTTGCCTTTTTTTTTTCGTCTTACAAGTTGCTGCGTTGAATCTTAAGACGAGATCTGGTTTTTTTTTTAGAACAATATACACTCATGGTCGAAGAACGGAAGCAGAGTATTTTTTTTTAAATAATAATAGTAACAAAAAAAAATTAATAACAGTGACAACGGTAAATTAACTGGAAGTAGACTAAAAGCTATGCTAAAGTAACACTATTGATTTTTTTTTTTCGTTTTCATTTCCTTGCATTATTTTTCCTTTGCATGATTTTTTTTTTTTACCCATTTATGATGTTTTTTTGGGGGGGAAGGGAGGAGGGGTTTTTTTTTTGGTGTTGACCAGCCGGTACAGATACGAACACAACGAACTTTATTCATGATGTCAGCCATGGCTTCACACACACACACACACACACACACACACACACACACGCACATACACACTCAAAACGCTTCTTCCCATTATATCTACAATTTATTATTTGTTGTTCTGTTAGGTTCCTGAGGTCAGTGGCTTACCGGAAGTTTACCAGGCTACTCTGGGATTATATTGGTAGCTCGAGGCGTTATCCACTACCCTTCCGAAAGGCTCCAACTAGTGCCACCTCTTTTGGCCGCACTCGGCCATTTTTGAATTGAGTAATGCGGGCGACCAAAACCGAAAAACAAGGTTGAAATAATCATACTTCCTGTGCGAATTTTGCGATTAAACTGGCATGGTAAGTGTTTCTTACTTCTAGTTTCCAGAAGTGGAAAGAAGAGGCAATGCGAAATTTTGATCATAGTGGCACTTTAATCACATCGTTCCTATAATGTCTGAATCTCTGGCAACTATCTCGAGGATTCCGGCACCAATATAGATCATCTGAAGGCCAGTGACAAAGAATCCCATGAGTACTATATGAATATAGTTTAAAAAACTGGAACAGTGTGTAAACTATAATTGAGACATAAAATATCAGCGAGAAAGAGCCGCCATGTATTGTGGACTCTGCGTTAAACAGCAAAAGAAATTATAGGTTGTAATATTAATACGCCGAGTTCATTCCCAATAACTGGTATCATGATGCTCAAAAATTACAACACCGAGCGTCAGCTGTCAAAGAATCCAAACACAACGGAAAAAAATCGTCGGTTCAGGAATTTATTTTGTCTCCGATCCGAAAACAAAAATCGGGTAAAACTGATTAGAAAACAAAACACTTAGGCCGCCAGTTAGATGTCGTAGTAAATAAGCGTCGCAGCCTGTGTTAGTATTAATGAAGTCAACTGAATACGCAAGCATTGACTAAGAAATATTTCTTCAACGTGACTATCATTAGCCGCAACATGCTCCAGGCGAGCGCATTGTCTCATCAGTATAAGCGCCGACCATGTACATTTTTTTGGTAGTTTGGAAAAGCCGGAATCCGGAATTCCGCCGGAATATTTCAACGTCTGTTTTTTTAATTCAAAACAACTCCGATGATTTTCCGAAGAGCGTCGAGCTCCGAATATACTTCGATGATTAACCGAAAACTAGCCGAGGGTCTCCGAAGTTACCCGGAGATCCTCGAGGGACAATCGAACCCCCGGCTTTATTTGTTTTTTATCGACTTTCTTATCTCATCTTTTGTTTATTTTGAATTATTAACTTATCTATTTTTTAACGGCCGTGAAACTGAATAATAAACAGCAAATCATTCGTAAAATTATAGGTTAACATGGTCAGCGTCCCTTTAATCGAGATCTCGATTATTCATTAAAAGGGTACAAAGAAAATATAGCAATGCCTTAGTCAGTCTGCCATTAACACAATTTCAATTCCGGGAAAGCACTGCTTAACGAAAGCGATAAGCTCTTCCGTTAAAGACAGACCTCCCTCATTCCTCTTCAACAAACCTTGCAGGTTTTCTATTGCGAATGCCAAAAAACACCAGGCTGTTCTTCGCAAACCTCACGGTTTTATTCTGCACTTAGTTACTATACTCACAGATCACGTCTCTATCCTTCTCGATAGAAAAAAGCAACCAAAAAATCTTGGCAGGTTTATCTTATCAGTACGTGCGGCACACCCTAACACCTAGAGAACGATATCAGCTAACAAATGGACCGGTTAATTGATCCCATTACCGACACTGAAACCACAAGCGAAAAGTTGTCACCACGCAATCACTTATCTTACTAACTTGTCGCACAATCTAACTTAAATTGTCTCAACATTTCCAGCTTACCTCTCCGGAGAGCGTACGAGCTCCGAATATACTCGAAGATTAACCAAAGATTATCTGAAGGTTTTCGAAGTTACCCGAGGATCCCTGACTTTTTCAAGGCCTGTTTTTAATTTAAAACCACTCCGAAGATTTTCCGAGTGGTGTACGAGCTGTGCATATACTCCGAAGTTACTCGAGGATCCGGCCTGAGGAACAATCGAACCCCCATGAATATGGTCGAACACCTATGAGGAATTAAGAAAACGCTGAAGAATCTATTTTTATGTTAGTTAAACGGAATTTTTGATGGTGAATTTTGTCTTAGCCAAGTGATAAGTGCATGGATATTGGGTAAATTCAAATCAGTTTGTTTCCGGTTGGACAGTTAACCACCCCGATACCCCATTCCTTTTTCCTCGTCCGAAGAACAAAGAACGATAGAAAACGCAGGCCTTGTGAGTAGTTGGCATCCAGCTCCGAATATACTCGAAGATTAACCAAAGATTATCTGAAGGTTTTCGAAGTAATCCGAAGATCCCTGATTTTTTCAGGCCTGTTTTTAATTTAAAACAACTCCGAAGATTTTCCGAGTGGTGTACGAGCTGTGCATATACTCCGAAGTTACTCGAGGATCCGGCCTGAGGAACAATCGAACCCCCGTGAACATGGTCGAACACCTATGAGGAATTAAGAAAACGCTGAAGAATCTATTTTTATGTTAGTTACACGGAATTTTTGATGGTGAATTTTGTCTTAGCCAAGTGATAAGTGCATGGATATTGGGTAAATTCAAATCAGTTTGTTTCCGGTTGGACAGTTAACCACCCCGATACCCCATTCCTTTTTCCTCGTCCGAAGAACAAAGAACGATAGAAAACGCAGGCCTTGTGAGTAGTTGGCATGCAGTAAAATGCGTTATGACGCCATTGTCTAAAAAGTGATCGCGAAATTATTTTTTGAATTAAAACTTGAATTAATAACTTAAATTTTGAATGAAAACAGGGCGACAAAAAGAAATTCTTGTATACGCGACACGTTAGGTATCACAATACTGTATGGCCACGTGTATAGTCATTGACGATATCTATGCTGGAAATTCCCATCATGTTAACCTCTTGTCAACAAAAACGCAACTATTGTCTGGAGCGGATACATCCTTGCAATTATCGCTTCCACATAATTGCATAACAGGAAGTCTAGATATCCACATCGCTGAATGGATCTGGAAGAAAGCTGGTAGATTACTATCCCAGTCAAACACCATCTTCCCAGCACCCTCGAGGGACTCCAAAATAAGGACATTCTCCGTTATGTCTGAAACAGAAACGGTGCCCTTGACAAGTTCATCACGTGGTACAAGGGGCAGGAGATCAAGGGTGGACTCACGTCAGTAGCCACTATTAACATCGACACGAGAGCATCTGGTCGAAAGCTAGGTCCAAAGAGGCAAAGAAAAGCGAGAGAGAATGTTGACTTCGTCCTTCCAATGCCCTCCTCGTTTCTGGACAGGGAAACAACATGTGCGACTTCAACTTCGACTTCAAGTGTGACTGTACCCACTTCGCTAACAGCTGTCCAGCAGTCGTTTGATTCAAGATCATTTCCCTCAATTCTGGCTCAATCCAACACAAGCAGTGCTTCATTCTCGTCACGGCAGCCGCAAACACAATCACCAATAATGATCCTACTTCCCACTCATCAACCAATCAATTACAGATCTACAGCCACAGTACCAGACGTTTCCCCTGACCAGCGAGGTATCTCAGGTGGCCACAGGAATGGGAGGAGTTGACCAAAATCAACCTTTTGGATACCAAGGGCCGTTACCACAATCATTTACGACATCTATGTTTAGCCACTCCAACCATCCGTGCCCCAAGCTTTTCCTTTACCGCCGAAACCCATCATTCCTGAATCTCCTAATCCTTTCTTTTTAATGAAGCTAAAAGGAAACATCTCAAAATGTAACGGATGTGAAGGGAGCTTTCATAAAGACTCTAAATCTGTTGAAAGCATGGCAGTCATTGGACGTTTAGAGATGGACTGGTACCCAAATCTGTATTTAGATGGCACAAAAAGTTAGGCAGAGCACAAAGAAGATACTACCATATTAACATAGCATGTCTGTGCACACGTCGTCCCTGGTTCCATACAGGCCACTTGCAAGGTCTGTTGAGGAGAACTGAGGGAGGCCTGTCTCTAACGGAAGAGCTTATAACTTTCGTTAACCAGCGCTTTCCCGGAATTGTAATTGAATAAATGGCAGGCTGACTTAGGCATTGCTATATTTTCTTTGTACCCTTTTAATGAATAATCGAAATCTCGACTAAACGGACGCTGACCATGTTAACCTATAATTTGACAAATGATTTGCTGTTTATTATTTAGTTTCACGGCCGTTAAAAAATAGATAAGTTAATAATTCAAAATAAACAAAAGATGAGATAAGAAAGTCGGTAAAAAACAAATGAAACCGGGGGTTCGATTGTTCCTCGAGGATCTCCGGGTAACTTCGGAGACCCTCGGATAGTTTTCGGTTAATCATGAAGTATATTCGGAGCTCGACGCTCTTCAGAAAATCATCGGAGTTGTTTTGAATTAAAAAAACAGACGTTGAAATATTCCGGTGGAATTCCGGATTCCGGCTTTTCCAAACTACCACATTTTTTTCGGATACCGCTTCTTTAATTACCTTCTCATGCCATAGGATGATGACATGATTGCGTAAAAGTTGACGCCTCTATCAGATTAGAAGCGAAATATGATCAAAGATTTTACCCAAGCAAGCTACTAGGTATGCAGCAGAGAATGCGGACTAAAAGTACGGATTCTCTGCTGGATACGAAAATTTTATTTGGTTGCTAATGGCATGAGGCTCGTTATAAAGAGTCTTTATGGTCTCACTTCACAAGCAAGCAAAATGCGTACAATCTTACGATAATACCTTTAATACGTATAGTAAATACATGCTTTGGTAAAGGGGAATTATGGTTGGTCATCAAAATATCAATGCGACTTAATTCCATCTCATATTATAATTTGCGGGTTTCAAATGAGGGAATCTAATGTATGTACAGGACAGAAAGACTTGTTGAACAGTAAAACACTTCAGAAGGAAGAAATGCAATCATGTTTGAAGATAAATATCTATATCAATACATGAATAATGGTTTCAGTACCGCTAAGCAAAAATGAAACGCGATTTATCCAAACAAGTTCATCAATTCTGCTGAACATGGCGCTGCTAAAGATGTTATGCCCACAATGTCTGGAAAAACTTGGATTGGATTGAAATGAAATTTTATGGCTTCTACATATCAGGTCAAAGGGAAGCGCAAACAACGGTCATTTTAATGTAGCTTGTTACAGCGAACTACATCAGAGAACATTCTCGGTTCATGGTCTTTTGACGACATTTATTTCACTTCACAAGCAAAATGCTTAAAA